AAAAAAGTATAAAAAGAGAGATTTACCGGTAATCCAAATATGACGTAATGTTTCAATTCATGATGGCAAAATAATAGGAAAATCAAGAAACCTCCATATATGTCTTTTTTATTATTATGTGAAATTTAAAGAAAATACAAGTGACACTTTATCAAGTTTTGAAATTACTGCTTTAATAAGGATATGGAAATAACGAACAGTATTCAATCTCAACGTCCATTAAACAAATATACAAAATAAGAGCAGAGCAAACACGGACCTCCGAAACATCAGAGGTGGGATCAGGTGCCATGGAGGAGTGAGCATCCCCTGCTGACCGGTCACACCCGCCGTGTGCTCGTTGTCATAATCAGAATATAACGGAAAAAATCCGTGGTCAATTCAGTGTATAAATAATGGACTAACAATTGGTATGAAAAACGTCAGTCAGCATTTCATTCAATGATAAATTGTATTTGCTGACAAGGTCATTGTATCGACCATAGAATTTACGAAATGATGACTTTAAACGAGATTGTTGATATTCTTGTTTCATCAACTTGCTTGTCAATAATTTACCTCATTAAGAAATTGTTCATACGTAGAGCATGCTCTTGCGTATCGAATCAACTGAGATATAAATACTCCGTATGCAGGTGATGAAGGTATATTGCTGCATAAGTAAGGGAAGTTGACGATAGAAAAGTTAAAGTCATCACGTTTATCATATAGCTTGGTTGTTAGATTACCATTAGTGTCTTTTTCAAGTAAAATATCCAAGTATGAAGCAGAAGTGTCGGACTCTGTGGTATCTTTTATTTCAAGCTCACCAGGATATATCGTGTCGTATGGCATGAATATTTTGCAGGGTTTTTTTTAAAGGATATCATTCACTAGTCTGCATGATTGAAGTTAGATTAAGCACTTTGAATGAGTTTGTTTTGTTAATTTGATTTTGTTTTTTAAGACCACAAATGTGCGTCATCTTGTTTAAGAACATTTTGGCATTCTGTGTTTGTTTGTTTTTTTTCTACGTAAGTCCCACATAGAAAGGTCTTATTTCACTGTCAAGAAATGTGGGTTACATACATTATATATTATAAGGTCCTTTATATTTTGTCTGTCTTTTGATTTTTTACTCTTTCTCTTTTATATTTGTATGTTTTTTCCTCAAAATTGGTGCTCAGAATGTATGTTTAAAAAAGTTATTGCACTTTCAAATTAAACCAAGATATTGATTATATTGCATATTGATAAAACATTACCATATCAGATAATTTTTTAAAATTATGTTCAAGTGTTAGTAACACAATAGTTGTACATAATCAAATGAAAAAAAGGTGAAAGTTGAGCTAATTTATTTATCTTCAGACAAACGAAAAATATTATTTTGGATCAAATGAACTAAAAAATGAATATTTGAGTTCAGGTTTAAGTATATTACTAAATCATCATATGCATTCGAAAATAATTCATTTCCATCTTGATCATTGACATGGATAAAGTTGAGAAGTTATTAATTTTTAGAACTGGTATAAAGTCCCATTTATATAAGTATTAGTTTTAGTACCGGGTATTATATTTATTTTTGAATAGAATCAGGGATGAACATTTGACCTTAAATTATATATAGATGTCCTTTTTGTATGACTTGTTTTAGTTTCTTTAAAATAATTTCTCAATATTTAAAACAAAAAGTCAAACAGGTAAATATTCACACAGATACATAGTAAAACAGGTTAATAATAACATAGGTATAAAGTCACACAGATTCAAAGTTAAACAGGTAAATAGTCAAAAAGGTAAATAGTCACACATGTAAATAGTCCTTTAATATAATACAAATTTATTTTTGTAAAATTTGCTTATAACTTTTTTTTTCTATTTAAAATATATTGCGGTCTTAAAGTTCTTCAGATTTATTTTGTTTTCTTGATTGTGCAATAAAACCACTTTTTTATATAATTTGAATAGAACAAACACAATAAAGCACTATAATTGCATTCCGCTTTTCTTTTGTACATCGAAAACAAGATGTGCTTGTGTGTATATGGAACACTGATATGCCGCCTGGCTGCTTAAAGCAAGGGTTTCAGATTCATGTTAAGGTCAAAGGTAGAAAGTTTTGGTTCCCTCAGGATATTCCTGTCACAAGAACACCTGCAAATTATGAAAGTTCTTGGACTAAGATTTCAAAAGCTTTGGCAAAGGTTTAAGTTTTATAATGGTGGGTCAACCACTTAATTCAAGGTCAAATATATTTAAACCAATTAAAATGTCTTATCATCATGGAAACACTTGTAACGTATGAAAGCCTTAGCATTAACTGTTTTCAAAATGTGTGGATTTGGTAAAGGTTTTGAAGGTTTTGGTAAAGCTGGGTCAAACTTACAGAACAAGAGGTCAAATTTTAAAGTACCCTTTGTAGGTCTTTTGGCAAGGAATCACCTGTGAAATATGACATAGCCCCACCCACTCGAATTTTGTCATTAAATCAGGGGTTCCTTTGTTGCATTACTGAATATTTAGTACTGGAAATGCAAATTCGTTGCTTCTTCTGCTCTATCTCTGGGTATATTATGTTTTAATTTTATCAGGTTGGGACCAATCGTCCAAATGGGATAAAATAGTCCGTTTGGGATATAATATCTCAAATGGACTAATAATTTACAGTGCAAAAATTGAAAATTTTTAATTTGGCTATAAAAATCATAAATCTTCATCAGGACACTAAAAAGGAATAACGTTTGGTGAGCAAGTTTTTCTGCAACCCAACCGTTTGTTATATCCATCCCCAAGAAGTTAAGGAACTTCCAGGGATCAATCTCCTAAACAACGGGCATATAAGCGAACTTGTAAACGAAATTTATTCCTTTTTAAGTGCCCTGATAGCCCCTCCCCCCAAAAAAAATAAATAAAATTTTGGCACTGTAATTTTTTTCATTTTTATAGCCTGTTTGGGATATCATATCCCAAACGGACTATGGAAGGATGCCTCTTCCAAGAAGATGGGCGCATTTGGCGGGTGATCTGCAGGAATCATTTATGGTTTAAATGTCCATGATTTGGTTGGCTGAACACACCTGGTCAGATTTTACAAACACGTCAATGGTTTTTTTTTTCATTTAGTTTGAAATACATTGTGAAATTGTAACAATTATGTGATGTGGAGATACTAGAACATAGTAATATTTCACAAAAATCCCTAAAATATATTTAATGCATGGATGCATGATAAGTGTCCATGTACATTATAAAACCGAAGATTAGAATTGATTTCGCTTGAGAACCAAACTGAACCAAAATTTATCTAATTCAAAATTTTAATACATCAGTACATAAAACGAAACTGAGAAAAAAAATTGGTTGCTTGCCTGAATAAAAAAATAAATTAACGCCCCATGCCAGGTTCGAACCAAAAACTTTTCGCTTCGAGTGCTCTGAAAAGGTAGCTTAACTTTCTGAGCAATCACCGCTACACATTCACAATTGATTTTGAAAGGACAAGGACTCACCACGTTGACACATTTGGATTTTTTTTGGGAAAAGTTCATTTTTTGTGGTCTCTGGGTCTTCTCTCCATTTAAAAAAAAGGTAATCGTTTCTTTGAATTAAAATACACACAAATAACGTTTCAAATTAATGGAGAGAAGACCCAGACAGAAAATTTCTAGAAAAATGTGCTTCAAAACGTACAATTTTGTACCAAATGTCTGATATGGCCAATTTTCAAGTTATTTTTTAGCAAATCAAAGCTCAATTTCGGGAAAATATTTTCCGTTTCTGTTGCACAGGAACCCGATAAATTAAAAAAATGTTAAAATTTCATGGTAAATCTCAATAAAATTTTCACTTTTCAATTACGCCCAGGTTCCCGCCGAATGCCAATCAAAAGCGCCCTTGTTCTTTATGAATGTTAGGCCCGTAAGTCAGAGGTTCTGGTGTAAGGACGAGGGTCTATTGATTATTTAGTGAAAATGACTTAATTCTTTGAAAATTTTCTATTTTGCTCCTGGTTTTACGCCGATGCTCTAAGTACATAGATATAATGAGGAGAGATGCCTCTTCAAAACGATGAGTTCCATGGACTCGGGGTACTAAGGAGGTGGTTTCTAATGATCTTACTTGTATAAGAAAATGAATATTTGTTTGAATCCTGTATTATTATTCAACAACTTATGACGAGAAAAGGTGTGATGTAGACACATCGAATCAACTGAGATATAAATACTCCGTATGCAGGTGATGAAGGTATATTGCTGCATAAGTAAGGGAAGTTGACGATAGAAAAGTTAAAGTCATCACGTTTATCATATAGCTTGGTTGTTAGATTACCATTAGTGTCTTTTTCAAGTAAAATATCCAAGTATGAAGCAGAAGTGTCGGACTCTGTGGTATCTTTTATTTCAAGCTCACCAGGATATATCGTGTCGTATGGCATGAATATTTTGCAGGGTTTTTTTTAAAGGATATCATTCACTAGTCTGCATGATTGAAGTTAGATTAAGCACTTTGAATGAGTTTGTTTTGTTAATTTGATTTTGTTATTTAAGACCACAAATGTGCGTCATCTTGTTTAAGAACATTTTGGCATTCTGTGTTTGTTTGTTTTTTTTCTACGTAAGTCCCACATAGAAAGGTCTTATTTCACTGTCAAGAAATGTGGGTTACATACATTATATATTGTAAGGTCCTTTATATTTTGTCTGTCTTTTGATTTTTTACTCTTTCTCTTTTATATTTGTATGTTTTTTCCTCAAAATTGGTGCTCAGAATGTATGTTTAAAAAAGTTATTGCACTTTCAAATTAAACCAAGATATTGATTATATTGCATATTGATAAAACATTACCATATCAGATAATTTTTTAAAATTATGTTCAAGTGTTAGTAACACAATAGTTGTACATAATCAAATGAAAAAAAGGTGAAAGTTGAGCTAATTTATTTATCTTCAGACAAACGAAAAATATTATTTTGGATCAAATGAACTAAAAAATGAATATTTGAGTTCAGGTTTAA